GAGTCAATTTTTTGGAGGGTCTTTTAAACCTATAGAAAGGGTTTTTATTCCATGCTTGACTAGCACACAGTTTTAAAGGCCTACATTTCAGAGGCCTACATGGCATGGGACAACCACTTTATCCAGTAGATGATCTCTGTACCTGCAGAAGTTGTTACCGAGACTTCTCAATATGAGGAGCTCAGGGAAGAGAATCTAGGGGAGAATGATGGTAGCCCTGTCCTCCAGTGACTCCCATTGAAGGACTGTGTCAATGCCTGCTTTATGCCATCATAGAGGGGAACTGTTTCCTTTCACAATCTCAATTTGCCTCAAAGTAGACAAAGTTAAAGAAGAAAAGAATAGCTTTGCTACCAATATAAGATTAACATTAGATCTCAACATAGCTAAAACAAAATCGTGGTTTTATTTCTCCCCTAATATTATTTGGACCCCTATGCCCTCGGCCCTCAACGAGATGGATTGACACGGTGGTTACAACAATGGGCTAAAACATGGCAATGATTGTGAGGATGGCACAGGACTGGGCAGTGTTTCATTCTGTTGTACATAGAGTTGCTATGAGTCAGAACTGACTTAAAGTTGCCTAATGACAACAACAACATGTCCCAGGCATGTTTAGGTAACATTTATTTTTAAGGTAACAATCCCGTTTTACAGATAAGGAATTTACGGTTTATAGAGGTTCGCTAATTGGTCCATTGGAACAGAAGTGTGGTGAACTAGCTAGAATTTGAGCTTAATTCTGTCCCTTTAACCCTTGCTTATTCCACTGTACCACAAGAATGTATTGATAGAGATTCATTATTCATAATCTGGATTGTTTCAATTGTAGTGATGAAGCCATATTTTCTCAAATGAGGATTATTATTAATCATTTAAATGCCTGGGTAGTTGAATATATAGTATAGGGCCAGGAAGGTGATTTTTATGCTCTGGAAGTTGAACAAGTCCAGACCAGTTTGAGCCTGGAAGTTCTTTATGTTAATACAACATCGAAACCATCTATTATTGTAATCTTTTAACGTTTTCTCTTCAGGTTTATTAAGGTTGTGATTTTCCTTGAAAACTTTCCTGATGTAACTGTCGTTGTATTCCTGGGATAAACCCTTCTTCATAATGTGTTCTTAGGCTGAGTCATATGAAATTGCTATTTTTTTAGATCAAAAATGGTCAAATATTAGGTATATCAGAGGACAAAGTAAATATCTGACACATAGCAACCCTATAGGACAGAATTTCCAAGGAGCTGCTGGTAGACTTGAACTGCTGACTTTTTGGTTAGCAGCCAGGTTCTTAACCACTGCACCAGCAGGGATCCATATCTTAAATTAAATTAGCTGTTTTTTAAAAAATAATTTTACATCTATGATCATAAGTGAAATAAGACTAATTTTCCTTTCTTGATTTGTCTTTATCTACTTTTAGAATCAGAATCAGGATTATATCAGCCTCAAAAAATACATTGGATATGTTTTCTACATTTTCCACATTCTGGAACAACTTGCATAGGAAAAAAATTTATTATAACTTAAAATCTGATAGAATTCAAATGTAAAACTATCTAGACCTAGGTTTTTTATGAAAAAGAAATTTCAGTTTTCTTAATAACTACTAATCTTTTGCAGTTTTACATTTATTCTTGCACTAAATATAGCATTTTAATTTTTTAAAAATTTTTTTGGTATAAAATATCTGTCATCTAGATTTTAAAATGTGCCGATGTATAGTTCATATCAATGCATTATCCATAATAATATTTTATTTAAAAAATAGATTTGTAGTTACTTCCTCTTTTTAGTTCTGGAATTTATTTGTATCATCTGTTTTTTTTCTTGATCAGTCTCTGCAGATTGTGTCTTACTAATGTTTTCAGAGAACTGGGTTTCAATTTCATTGATATTCTCTATTGTGTTTTTGTTTTGTATTGTGTATTTTTCTGTTTTGTTTGCTGGTGATAGTTCTGTTTTCATCGATGGATGGCTTTATCTTTACTATTTTCTCTCTTTCTTTGAATGTGATATGTAGCTCATTTTTAAACTTTTTGGGTATAATGCTTAACTCCATATTTTTTTTAACCTTTCTTGTTTCCTGATAAATTATCCAAAATTATAAATAGCCTTCTAAGTTCTGCTTTAACTATGTCTTTCAAATTTAACATCAAAAATTATAATTATTATTCCATTGTAAATATTTTGTTAATTTCCTTTGTTTCTTTTTTTAAAATGTTAGACTTTTTAGTAATATTAATTTATTTCTAACCATATGAGAGTTTCAAAGATATGTTTTGATGTTGATCTGTAGTTTTATTGCACAGTGTTCAGAGAACACAACCTGTGTGATATTGATTCTTTGAAAGTTATTGACGTTTCTTTTATAGCCAAGTACACAGTGTGTTTTTTAAGTGTTCTTTGTGTGCTCTGTGTGTGCTCCCCAAAAGTGGGTGTTGTCTATCTAGTATTCAGATATCTAATATCAAGGTATTAGATATAAGAGCTGTCTTATATCTAATACCTTGAGCTTATTGTGTTGTTAAAGTCTCCAATATCTTTTTGCTTATTTATCTTTTTCTGCTTTATTATTTTATGAGAAGAGTGTATTTAAAATTTTATTTTGTTAGCTGTGATATAATTTCTCAACAGTCTTATCTCTATATGTCCAATAAACAAAGCAGATCATAGCATAAGTGCTCTGGTTGAATTTGGGAGGTCTCACAAACCCCATCCTTGGGTAGACCCCAAGACACCTCTGTAGAATTCCTAATTTGGAAAATTACTTCTATAAATCTATCAATTAATTTTACCCTTAAACTTTCAGTCTTATTTCTTATTTATGCATAAACCAAAGACTTCAGTTTGCAGTAAATGCGTTCTCAAATTCTCTTCCTCACCTACCTTCTTATGTACTTTTCCTCTTGCTATTCCACCCACCAGGAATTTTTTTTCAGATAAATTCTGTAGTGTATGTAAGACCCAACTCAAATTTCACTTCTTCCAAGATGTTTTCTAACCCTGTCAGTTCTTTGAACTTTAAAATCATTACTGCTGGAGTAATTAATTTAGTATTTACTCAGCTACCTGCTATAGCACTTATTTAAACAATTTATTTTATTTAAACAATTTAAACAATATATATTTGTTTAATATTTGCTGTATTTATGTGTGGAGCCCTGATGGTGTAGTGGATAAGAGCTATTTCTGCTAACCAAAAGGTCGACAGTTATAATCCACCAGATACTCCTTGGAAACCCTACGGAGCAGTTCTGCTCTGTCCTACAGGATTGCTACAAGTCGGAATCAACTCGACGACAATGGGTTTTGATTTTTTATATTTACGTGTGCCTTCCATATTACACTGTATGAAAGCATTTCAAGGATACCTCATGTCTTCTATATCTTCATTAAAGTACCAGCACAATGTCTTGTTCTTGGTAGCCAGCCAACAAAAATACCTTCGGTTTTTTTATTTTTGTACATGGAGGACAGATTTGTTAAGTTGCAAGTCCTTCATATTACTGTATTTTGCTAAATATGTTCTTTATTATTAATAAAAAGCATTATCAATGAAAGTTAAGATTCACTTCAAAACTCTTGGAAAGCAGATAGATTTATTCTTCTTCTAAAATAAGGAGCATTATACTTAATTCTTTTAATGTAAATTTATGTATAAAGTCATTTTTATTAGTTTAAATTTATCTACTCACTTATAAAGCTGTGTTTGTTAAGTCCTAAGGACAGAGAAGGTAGTATAAGACAAGCATTAGACTGAGCATAGAGATTTCCAAGAGTGTCACAGTCTACTAATTTGTTATTCAGCTAATGAGATGATTGCCTCAAACAACAGTAATAGTCATGAAGCCTTCTGAGCCCTGGCATCACACCTCACCTGAGATGGTGCTTTGTGGTATACAAGACAAGATTTAAGGCAGCATCCTTCCCCACACTGATCTGCCAGTGTGGCTTTTTCACAGAGAGCCAACACAAGTGAAACATAGCCAGCTAAATCCTCAAATAGGTAATTTAAACCATAAAAAGGAGGTGGCCAGGTGAGAGAGAAGATAGAATAAAAGAATTGTAAAATATCCATAACATGAGCTGTTAAGTCCTTTAACGTATGTTTTATTGAGTTTTCCCAAAAAGCACAAAATGGGTTTTTTTCCTGCCCAATTTACAGATGAGGAAACTGAACCCCTTAAGAGATAAGATAATATGTTGATTAGTGAACATTGAGTATGTGGTAGATTGAATTCAGGTCTGACAGCTAAAACAACATCTTCAGTTCCCCTTGTTTTTGCTCACATAACACTCAATGTTATTTTATACTCGTTGTATACTTTAAATACATATAATTATTTAGAATTAATTGTTGATCTTCTTTCCTACTGAACTGTAAATCCATGAGGAGAAACTATGTCTGGTTTGTTCAGCATTGTATCACCAGGACCAAGCGCTTTGCTTGGCACATAACTGGAGCTCAGTAAATGTTTGGGGTTTTGGTTTGTGTGTTTGTTTGTTGGGGGAGGCAGTAGTTTCCACCACATTGTCTTGAAACCCAAAACCAAACCCGTTGCCGTCAAGTCGATTCCAACTCAAAACAACACTGTAGGACAGAGTAGAACTGCCCCATAGTTCTGGAAACTAAGGAACCTCTGGTGGATTCAAACTGCTGACCTATTGGTTAACCACTGTGCCTTCAGGGCTCCCATATTGACTGTTGTAGGTTAAAAAATAATCTATGGAAAACTGAGTTTGGTGTGAACTTGAACAACCAGAGAAGTTTTTGTGGGTGAGCTAAACTTTTTAGGTAGAGTAGACATAAATATTTTTTAATCGTAACCTATATATAAAGCCATACATTATTTTAATTACTTCACTCTCAAAAGAAACCATTGAAGAGAAATCACAGTAAGGATGGGGAAATGCTCATATCTTTGTAATATATATTCTACTGCTTTGTATATTTACTGATTTATTCCCCTCTCCACCCTTTTTTTTAAATAGAGAAAATCAGGCAAAGATATGCAGACTTGCCTGGAGAATTGCAGATTATTGAACTTGAAAAGGATAAGAATGGACTTGGACTCAGCCTTGCTGGTAATAAAGACAGGTCACGCATGAGCATATTTGTGGTGGGAATTAATCCCGAAGGACCTGCTGCCACAGATGGAAGAATGCGTATTGGAGATGAACTGTTAGAGGTGAGAGGCATCTGTTTTTAACTTCTTATTTGGTGGAATGGAGGAGTGTAGGATGATGTATAGGAAAATGGAAAGAAGGAAAAAAAATTAGCAAATTATATTTTCCTCAACTATTTAAAATCATTTTATAAAGCAATAGCAAAAATCAGATTGTTTCTTGCAAATGTTTTTTGCTGTCTTAAGTATTGACTAAGCTCACAATAATTTAAGAGCCGTTATGCAAAATGTGATAGAGACATATTAAAAGCATAGGACTTGTTTTTCCTATCAATTCAAAGAGGTTCAAAACTAACTTGATAGTGTACTAATCTAATATTGTTAGTTTTGGGGGATGGTGGTAGAGCCAACAAAAGCCTATGAACTTGTCAAAGAATGGCTGATATCTTTTAAGTTGATGATATGTGTTAAGGTCACATAGATTCCTTATTTAGGAATAGGATAGAGACAAGGGAAGCAAAAGAGAAAACTGATCCTTTGCTAATTACTACTCTCTGAATGATTTCATCAGTAATCTGAAAAAGTTATCCTGTTTTCCTAAGCTTTAACTCAGAGTTTCTGTTCTGAGTTCATCTTAGTTTGATGTCCATTCATTTGTTCATTCATTCATTCACTCACTCAGCTAACTTTTTTTTCCTTTCACAGGCATTCAATAATACTTTTGTTTTTGTTTTGTCATAAGGGTTGAGACAATGCATATTGTTCTGTAACTTGTTTTTGTCACCTACCATATGTAGGCCACCTTTCCATCCTGGTGATAAACCAGTACCATTTGATTCCAACTCACAGTGACCCCATGTGTATCCCAGGAGAGCTGTGCTCTATATAGTTTTCTTTTCAGTGATATTTAAAAAAAAATTTTTTAAATTGTACTTTAGGTGAAGGTTTACGGAGCAAACTAGTTTCTCATTAAACAATTAATACACGTATTGTTTTGTAACATTGGTTGCCAACCCCATGACGTGTCAACACTCTCCCCTTCTTTACTTTAGTTTCCCTCAGCTAACATTTTTTGAGTATCTGTCATAATCCAGGAGCCCTGTTGGCACAGTGGTTAAGAGCTCAGCTGCCAACCAAAGCGTTGACAATTCGATTCCTGATTCCACCAGCCACTCATTGGAAACGCTATAGGGCAGTTCTACTCTGTCCTATATTGAGTTGGAATGTATTCAACAGCAATGGGTTTGATTTGATTTATCATAGCCCAGACACAGAAAAGGAGATGAATATGTTCACTCTCTTCAATTAAACAGCTCACAATCTGGTGGAAGAAAACAGACATGAAAAGATATTTGTACAACAAAATGAAAAATATAAGAACAGCTAATATATACTAGATGCCAGGCACAGCAACTCTTTTACTGTTGAGGTACAGACATAATGATGCTGTTGGTTTTCAATATCATGCAGTTTGACTTCTTAGCCCTCTGTTTACCACTAAGCTGTAAGGTCTCTTGGATAAAATGTTTGGACATTTAGGGGAGCTGAATCATGGAGGCACTGAATGTCAGACTGCTTACTTGAAATGTAAGCATTTTACAATTTCCTCTTCAGGCTCTGACTCAGAATAGAATTCACCATCATCCATAATTTGACTTGACTAGTAATATCTACAACCAAAGCTGGTCGACAGTACTGTGAGACCATCAGCATTTGCTCTCCTCCAAGTTCCAGTAGCTCCATCCCATCTAAAACCTGTTCCTGCAAAGAAGTCACTCTGAGATTACTTTCCTTTTCTTGTTCTTTTGAAATGTAGCATCATGAAGGTCGCCCACATTGGGCAATTGCACTATCACAGTCACTGTCGTCTTATCCAGTGCTGCTGTAACAGAAATACCACAAGTGGATGGCTTTAACAAACAGAAGGTCATTCTCTCACAGTTTAGGAGGCTAGAAGTCCAAATTCAGGGTGCCAGCTCCAGGGGAAGGCCTTCTATCTCTGTCTGCTCTGGGGGAAGATCCTTGCCATCAGTCTTCCCCTGGTCTAAGAGCTTCTTAGTGCAGGGACGCACTCTGCTCCTGGCTTTTCTTTCTTGGTGATAAGAAGTCCTTCTCCTCTCTGCTCCCTTCTCTTTTTTATATCTCAAAAGAGATTGATTCAAGATACAACCTAATCCTATAGATTGAGTCATGCCTCATGAACACAACTGCCTCTAATCCTGCCTTATTAACATCATAAAATAAAGCAAACCTGTTGCCATCAAGTTGATTCCAACTCATAACAACCCTATAGGACAGAGTAGAACTGCCCCAGAGGGTTTCCAGGGAGCAGCTGGTGGATTTGAACTGCTGACCTTTTGGTTAGCAGCTGAGCTCTTAACCACTGTGCCACCAGAGCTCCTTTAACATCAGAGAGGTTAGCATTTACACCACATAGGATAATTGCATCAGATCATAAAATGGAGGACAACCACACAGTACTAGGAATCATAGCCTAGCCAAGTTCACACACATTTTTAGGGGATACAATTCAACCCATAACAGTCATTTAGAAAAAAAAATCGAAGAATGACAGTATGTATTAATCAATATAATTCGTTGTTGCAAGTTTATTTCCTTTGGCTGGTGTTTAGAGACTTCCTCAGAGGTGAGACTAAAGTGATGGTGGTGTTAATAATGATAAAAATCCAAAACCAAACTCACTGCTATTGAGTTGATTCTGACTCATAGTGACCCCATAGGGTTTACAAGGCTGTAAATCTCTATGAAGCAGAATGCCACATCTTTCTCTCGCAGAGCCGCTGGTGGTTCCGAACTGCCATCCTTTTGGTTAGCTGTCGATCAGTTTAACCACTGTGCCTCCAGGTCTTCTTAATAATGGTGGGAAAAAAACCCAAACCTGTTGGCATCAAGTCGATTTCGACTCGTAATGGTGAAAGTAAGAGCTCATTTATTGAGTCGTCATTAGCACTGTACATGTATGCTGCCCATATGTATTCAATATTCTTAAGAGTCCTGAATGGTTAAGTACTATTATTATCCCCATTGTATGAATAAGAAAACTGGGTAAGTAGCTTGCCTCATGTCACAGAACTAAGTAAAATGTTGGGTTAAGAACCCAGGCTTGCCAGGCTCCAAGACCGATGCTCTAGCCTTTGAAGTATACTGTGTCCCCCATGGACTTTCTTTAACTGAACCCCATTTGTTTAGATCCAGGAGAGTAGTGATTGATGATGCTCTAGTCTTTAGGGAATCATGTATACTAAGTCACTCTGTTGTGTTATGTATACCTAGCAACAGATTCCCTGTAGTTATGCATGGTTTAAGAAAATGTTCCAAAGGCTGTAATTTGGAATATGAAGATTCTAGTTCTGTTCTCTCTACCTTGTTAAGATTCAAGATGGAATGTCTTGTGGAATCCCGACCAACAGAAGTGCTAGTATTTTATTTCTCTGTCTGACATTTTTTTAAATACTGGTAACAAATGAACTGGGCTGCAGACTAATGAGGCTGTTCTATAGGTCAGAGACAGAATCCAACACTGTACAATGAGCACTGGACTTGGAAGACCTACTTTAACTTACCCAAATTCTTTTGGTTTCATTTCAGAAGGGGCTTAGCATAGTGCTTGGCACAAAGTTAACTTAATTAAATCATTTCCTCCCTCACAGATAGAAACTTCAAGTATCTGTTTGCCAGGTCAGGGGGCTGGAAGAACTGTCCTACATGTACTAAAAGAACATTAACATGTTGACTTATTGGGCCTCTCCTATTGTTCCTTTGCATTTCTGAATTTAGCCCTTTACTTGTTATTCAACAACTTCATCTTCATTTAGAAATGCAAAGAACAAGAAGATTAAACACGGCACTAATTCCACTCCATGCATCACTGATTCTCTTGTTTAAAAATAAAATAAGAAGAAGAAGTAAAAAAAAAAAAGTGGGAACACTTTTTAGCATAACAGATCTTTGTGAATTGTTTATCTTCTCTAAGCCTCAGTTCTCTCCCTTTTCAATGGCGATTATTTATTCATTCAACAAATATCTTAAACTGTGCATCTGTCATGGAACAGGCACTGTATAAGCAAGGTGCTGGTTTCACACTAGTGAGCAAAATGCATGGTACCCATTCTCACAGAGCTTAATGTCTCGTAACCGCATAGCATCAACCTCAGAGGATGTTGTGGGAATTAATGAGAGAAGGTATGTCAGCTTTTGCCACAGGATCTGACATGTGACAATGCCTTAATACATATTATCTGATCTTATTCATAAAATAGTATTTTTGTGTGGATTTGTGTATTTCAAGTCTTTTTAATTTATTTATATTAATACATTTGTCTCTAAAATTATGTCCCAGAGGAAGTCCATCTTCCCTTTCCTCAATGGCACCCTAGAAATCGGGGAGAGTGGAAAAATGCACATACTGGATTCTTAAGCAGTTATAACTCATCTTCTTTTGTGAATTTTTTGACTTTAGGTCAGGATGATAAGGGAATAGGTTCATATGGGAAATATGTTCCTGCTTTCTTTTTATAGCTGAGAAAAAAATTTCAGTCATTTCATAAGGAATTTGTATATAATATCAAATCCAGTGTTTTTGAGATGAGAATAGGAAATTGATTTACCGATGAGTACCAGGAAAGCTAGATGCCAGAGCTACAATAGCTGTTCTTTGGGTATTGCAGTACATTAGATTGTAGAAGACTGCTTTGTGTCGGAAGCACTTGCAGTAGGCTTTTAGATTATGTGCACTGAATTTCTGGGGTAGGGCAAGCCGTGTGTATTTGTTTACCTTGCCATACTGCTTTTTTTTTTTTTTGTGGTCTCTCCCCTCATTTGAGCTAAAATTATCCATGTCTTGTTTTTACAACTCCTTTCTTTGCCCACAGTACTTCTCATTTTTGCTTTGTCATATCATTCCAAACTTTGCTCACAGCCTCCTTTTATTTAGAGTTGAACTTATTTTCTTTAGACCCTTAGATGAGGTTCATTTAAAGAAAGTCGAAAAGAGAACAGTTGAACATACATTGTGGCTTCTTTGAAGTCAGAGGCTTGGCTTC